AAAGAAATAGATGATCACTTAGGTACTACATTTTAATAGAAATGCTTCCATCATAAGCAAAAAATTTAGCACCTACTACATATAAGACATACCACTACCACAACCTATTTGTTTATCTTTTTACCAAAAAACTAGCACACCTCAAAAGCACACTGACAACATTGCTGGAAGAAAAGAAGGCAACATTATTGGAGAATAGACTTAATAGACTTATTCTAAGACCCATAGTGATCCAGTGGCTGAGTCAAAGGCCTAGAAACTAGGTCTCCTGGTTCCCAAGGCACCATGCACAGCAAAGAAAACCAGGCACCTTAAAAACAGACTTGGGTTTGAATTCCAGTTTCACTTCTTACTAGTTGTATGTGTGAACTTGGGACAGTCACTTTACCTCCCGACCCTCAGTTTGCTTTGTCTATAAAACAAGATGCCAATTACCACCTCACCAAATTGTTGGGAAGACTATATGAGCTATATACCACCTACCACAATTACTAGCCACAGAATAGGCAACTCAACAATATTAGTTCTCTTTCTTGGTCTTAAATTATTTAAGATTAAGAAAACACCCAATAATCAAGGAAGGCTAATTAACAATCCATATTATTAATGGATGGCCAACAATGAACCTGTATTTGCTGCCTTATTCATACTCCAACCCATTCCCTTCCCATCCCACTATTTCCAGTTTTTCAAACTTTAGTTACTATGTTTAGAAAAGTGATTTAATTTTAGAAACCTGGAAAATTCTTCTGAGTAAATTGAGCAAAACCTTAATCTGCCCCAAGGGGAATTCTGAGCAAAACAATTATTTCTGACAAGAGAAGAATTTTCTATGGGGGTTATTCAATTTAACCACACGAACGCCACCAAAGCTGCACACAAACCGACAGAAAGCAATCTGGAACATACTGTACAGATTCTCCAAAAAGAAATACCCCCGTAAAATACAACCTCCTCCCCCTCCCTATTCTGAGGCAGTAAAATCTTACTAGGTGATCAGAATTCTCCCCACTCTGACACCAGTCCAGCTCCTTCGGCCAGAGCTGCAGCAGTCTGTAAAAGAAATACCCTGAGCAAACCCCACCCCTCAAAATAACCCCAAAAGGCAGGGAGGTCCAGAGAGTATTTTGTCCTCAATCGACAGATAAGGCACCAGGGGCTCAGCAGCACAACCCTCTCCCCAAGGTCATTCAAGTCAGTGAAGGTGCGGCAGAGAATCTGCAAGCAGTCTCTGGCCTTCTGGAGAACACGCTGCAGGGTTTTCGGGGGGTGCCTACTCTCTTCCCCTCTCCCACCCTCGGGTGTGAGCACTGGCCTCGGCATTTCCGAAACATGCCGCAACAAGCTCTGCAGTGTTAGGAAAGGGGCTGACGCGATGAAGAAACAGATGCTCCAAAGCAAGATGGTCTTTCTGGGCTCGCAGAGCCTCCCCCACGGTTATTCACAGAAACCGCAGGCACCTCCGAGAGCTCTACACCGGGCTCCGGAGCCCCAGCCCGGCCGCTCCGGGACGCCGGCTTCGCGGCAGGCAGCCTCCGCAGCCAGAGGCCACCGGCCCCAGAAACCGCACTTCATTCCTGCGCGTCGGGAAGCCATGGCTCCTTCCCCGCCCGGGCCGCGGGGCGGGGGGTGCGCAGGGAGGCGGGCCGCGCTGCGGAAAGTTCGCCGCGGCGGGCAGGCGGGGGGCGGCCCCGCTCGCCCGCGTCCCCTGCAGATTCCACCATTAATTAGTCCTAAGGACTGTCTACTGGCAACTTAAACAAAGCGAATGCCTCGCATTCCTTCCCGGCCCAGCGGTCTGGCTGCGAGACCGGCAGCGCCCGGGACGCGGGCCGGCGCGGCCGACAGCTGCGG